TATAATCCTTCTTTAAACTTCTTTGAGAATTGCTTGCATTATTCCTTATTTGCTCCTTCTGAAGCCTCTGTATATTAAAGGTTATTTATTGTGGCACTAGCATTTGCTAAAACTTAATAGGAAAAATTCTTGTAAGCATCACCATGGTATCTGTCACGGCTGTAAATAATAATTTTGTTTCCAAAATCTACCTGCTCCTTTTTTTTCCAGAAAAGATGCCTGCTGCTATGAAAATTGCATATGCTCCAGTCAAATGGACAGAGAAAAGACATCCAGGGCCTGGGTGTTTCCTGGAGGAACCAGCTGAAATTCCTTTGATTTCTTTGCTTATATCAGCAATTAATTTAGCCCCAGATCATTCTGGAAGGCATTTCAAAAGTTAACAATGTGTGTCTCAGTGTACCTAGAAATATTGCTGACTCCTCCATGTCACTTCTGGGTCACAATGTTGTCAGCTCCTGCTGTTTAAGGGAGTCTCATGGTACTTGCTGTTTTCTTCTTGAAGTCACAGATTCTGGGGGCATATCTCATATTTCATTTTTTTAAAAGCATTGGTTTATAGTTCACATGGTAGCTCAGAAACCCTTGATAACTGACCTGCGTGCACCCTACAGGCTCAGAAACTCAGAGTTAAATATAAAGAAACGAACATTTGTGAGACTCTTAAAAATCTCAGGGTGTTTGGCTGCACCTGAGTTTTATTCCTCAGGAACTGTAATAGAGATAGTTCAGGATTTCTGAATGCATGTGGTTAGCAATGCAAAGTCATTAATAAAAAAGAATAGTTTGCTTTTATTTGCAGTAAAGCATGCCTCTGGCTGCGGTTTGTGCTCAAAGTTCAATGAAGCCCAGATTGTATATCATGGCTAGCAGTTTTTCAGCAGAAGGCTGTCTAGGCATGGCCTTGGGTGAAATAAGGACTGAGGATCAAACCACAGATATCCTCTAGATTGTCTCAGTAACTATGGACAATCCATGCATGATTTCATCTCTTTAGTAACAAAATAGGATGGATGCTGTTTTTCACTTTGCAAGGCTGCTTTGAAGATTGACTCATTAATGACCTAGGGGTGCTCAGATACTGTGAACAGGGAGAGGGTAGATGCAGGTAGAAATTGGTGGGCAGATTAAGTGCTGAGGCAGAGTGAAATGTTCTTACCTACCTTTGGTGAAATCATGGGTAAAATTGTCTTTTTTGATACTTTGAGCTACACAGGAATATATATATAAATATATATATACCTACATATGTATGTGTATGTGTCTATACACACACACACACACACACACACACACAGACACACATACACATTTGCAGAGTTAACTGAAACTCTCATTCCTTTTCCTATGAGATATGCCCCGCACAGCATATTGAGGGTATATGCAAACTCTGCTCATGCTCTGAGATGACCAAAAACTGTGTGCTGGAGGGGCATGATGCTGAGCCCAGCTAATGAGCACTAATTGGATGCTCCTTTGTGGCACTTTGAATGCATGTATCCATCCCATCAGCAGCTCAAGTACAGCTCCCACAATGATACGACGGCAGGTAACTGGCAGCAGGGCTGTTGCTAGGATGAGGACTGAGAGTTAATCTGCTCCCTGACTGCGTGAGTTAATAAATCAGCACAGGCTGCAAAAACAAATACTGCCAGATTGCCATGAGGTCCACCAGCATGGCCTGACGAGGTCTGCTGGTGCTCTACAATGATCATTGCTCAGCGTTGGGATCAGAACAGCCGCACGTCCCGTGACCTGGATCACAGACAAATTTCCCTTTCACCTTTTCAACAGATTTAGGTAGATACAGCCTGGGCTCATGTCTCCAAGTGACAAGTTTCAACTCTTCTCTTTCCTCAGATATACTCCTGAAGGTCACTGCCATGTAGCCTGGGCTACCACACCGTAGGGACTGGGGCTGTTCATCACAGTTTCTCCTGCAGCCACATTTCCTCCAGAGGTATTCAACACCTGCGTTTCCTCTTTGGGCACAACTCCTATCCCGAGAGACAATAATGACAAGATGACTTTCTTAAAAGAAATCGTTACTTATCATAACTGTAGGGGAAAGAAAGTAACATAAAGAAAAGAGGATTTTAAAACAACAGAGGCCTATCTGCACGTCTATTTCACTTGGATTACCACCAGACGCTGAGACAGAGATTCTAAATAGGCTTCCTGTTAGCTGTCAGCCCCAGCGTCTGTGGTTAGGACTATTGCCTCTGTCTGTCTCCCCTACGTAGCTGTGAAACTGCTACTCTTTCTATAGAAAGTCATACTCTGTTGCAGAACTCTTCTGTCCTCACCCCTTCCTGCATTTGTAAACCCCCCACAAGTCTGTTAAAAGGTATTTTGTCTGAAGTTATTTCTTTGCTTTCTTCTTGGTTTCTCAATTTCTGTGTTGATTTTGCACAATAGCTTTTTTCCCAGTAAGCCATAGAGTAACTGGGTCACAACTTGCTATTTGGGAACTACAGCAGAGCTGCCCCATTTCTGCCACAGTCTGTTTCGGTGTTACAAACAGTCTTTGGGTTTTTGGCAAATGCTCACTCCATTTTTTACGGTACCTGGTGAAAAAAGGGCCACTTTAACTGCCAGGGTGTTGCTACCTGGTAGGAAAAAATCAGTGTACGTTTTATGAAATAAAGGTAAGGCTGTTAAAAGCTTTGGAGTGCAATACAATCTTTGCACCTCTCCAAAATGTACGATTTCTTTTCTTATACTGTGAACTATTTAGATAAGGTTTTTACAGCAACCTTTCTCGGCTGGTAGTTTTGTGACTATTTTCTGTATGGCTATGCTGCTACTGGAATCAGAAGCAGGTATGACAGGGGAAATCCTAGTCCAGTTAAAGTGTTGCCATGGACTTAAGCCAGGATTTTGCCTGAAGTTTCTGCACAGCAGAAAACCTCCTGTAGGTGCAGAGGAATGAATTCTGATGCAGTTTCTTTTCAAATAGGGCTGGAAGTCAGCTCATCTAACTTAAGCTGCCTCAAAGTCCAGTGTCCAGTTTTCCAGGCTACCTTTATAATTAATAGAAGGAGCTAAGCTCCAGAGGGTAACTCATGCTGCTTGCCTGAGACACCTACTTTAGGACTGGATCAATCTGTCTCTTCAATATTTTTCTTTCTTTGCTGACTATAGGTGGATGCTAAACAACTAGCTTAGATTAGATGGCTCTGGTTAGGGAGGTGAACAGGACTTTTAAAATCTGCGTGTTGCCATGCCTGGGGAGTACGAATACAAACTCCTGGAGGATCCCTGCTCTCTTGCTTCTTGTGGTTGAAAAGGGAATCGATGTTTGGAAGTGAATTTGCCTATCCTGTTTGCAAAATGCTGCCCTTAACTGTGAGGCAATAACTGCAGGCTTGATGTAGAATAAGACACAAATTAAAGCAGACTGCAGTCATAATACACAGATGCAACAGCTTGTAGCTACCAATGCCTCTGTCAGTGGTTACCAAACCTTCCTCTCAGGCACTGTGACTATTACAACGTTGAAGCTGAGCGCGCGGATCAGGCTTCCTACTGCCTTCAGCTGCTGGACAAGGATGAGATGTAAACACAACATCCAAATAAGAGACTGTCTATATCTGGTCCAGGTGAAATCAGGGATGTCTACTGCGCTGCAAGCAGTGCAGCGCCCATCTGAAGCACTGGCACACAGTAACGATGGGTTTCTAAGACGACAGGTTCTTTTTTTTCTGTAAGTCGTCCAGTCCTCGTGCGTTACTGCCTTCTGTTACAGTGGCATTTGTGGACGTTCATTGTTCCGCACATCACTATTTATAGGAGAAGAGCTAAGGGAGATGAGAGCTCACAATAGCTGTCTAAGACCTTGTAAATGACAAGGGGGCAGAGGCAGAGTTTACAAGTGAGAGACAGTTTACACTTCGACAGGCTAAAGCAAAGTTAGAAAACAACCAAACAACCAAGGCTCTAAGTAGTGTTTGTCTAACTATTTTCAAAGACGGCATTTTGAGCGTTATGTTGCTTTAGTCAGTGATGTGTTTTAGTAGAGAAACAACAGAAATCGCGTTGAGCTCATCTCGAACACACATGAAATATTTTACTATCTTTTCTTTTATCTCCCCTTTCAGATACAGCTCAGGAGAAATACGTTCCAAGTGACAGCATCTTTGACAACCTGTACTTTTTGTTCTACCTTTTGTTCTTCTTCCTCTGAAAAGTCATGTGATGAAGATTGCTGGAGAACATTGATACTCTCCCTACCTATGTAAAAAAAAAAAAAAAAAAAAACCAGCCACATATGTACACATTTTTCTATTTATTGTTTGAGTATCAAATCCAACTGCAAAATGTACCAATACTAGTGTCCATACTAGAAAAAGGGAAAGACTTATTCTTGCCAAGATATGCCTAAAACAAGTGATTGGGCACTGAACAGAATTCCTCCCATTTTTGCCAACAAAATTCCACACAACTAGCTACTGATCCCGCACAGCACCATGAAAATGCCTCAACACTGAGTTTTGTGATTGTGCTTTCTCCTTTGGGCCAGAAAATTCTTTTTGGGTGCAGAGACAAAAGCAGTTTCTGAAAACATGCAATGTTTCTTAACCTCATTGTTATCCATTTCTTCAATATGAGCAACACCTTTTCATTTTAAGAATTTAAAACATTTGAATTTTACCTTAACTGCATCTGTCTTGACCTATTTCCAAAGTCAGCAGGCATTTATGAATATATTTAACTTTACTCATATGATCAATACCAAGCCCAAATGCAAGTAGTTTTTGAGACGCTTTTCCCACAACTCTTGTCTCTGGTAGTGGAGGCTCTTGCAAGAATAATGAATTTTATTCACAGAATCCCAATGAGATAAAGCAATATTGCTATCCCCTTTGTACAACTGGGAGAAATGACGATATGGAAATTAAGTAATTTTCTTTAAGTCCATTTACAGTAAAAAAAAAGAGATTACAACTCAGAAATGATTGTTTTATTTTAAATTAATTGATCTTGTTGTCTCAAAGAGCTTTTCTATGTATTCATACACAAAGTAAGTGGTGCTTTTAAGTGATAGCGATCATTTTTGATGCACGAGCTCTACTGGGAAATGAGTAAAAACTGTATTATAATGTGAATGTGTGTGTCTGCATGTGCATGTATTGGAGCTTAGAGCTACTAAACTAAAATTTAGATCCCTCAGGTTTCTGGGCAGAACAGAAGTTTCTAAGGATGCTGAATAGAGTACACAAACCAGCGGAGATCACTGAGAAACAATGAAGAAACACACAGTGAATATTTTCAGAGCAAGGTCATTGTTCATTAATATTGCTAGAGAGAGTTTAGCTATACACCAAATTCTTCACAAGCTCTATTTATCAAACTGCATGATTCTCAAAATCATCGTCTGAATGTAGAGCAGTGTGACTAGTCATTCATTTACAGAGGTGGGAGAACTGGCTGAAATTGAGAGGCCCTGCCCTCAGACTGGTGTTGTTTTCCTGTTTGGATGAAAGATGACCTTTAGGAGGTGCATCCCACCAACTGCAAAAGCTCAGGAATGACCTATTATTTGGAGCATTTCTGGGCAAAAATTCGATTGATTTTGTTGACCATCAGGCAATGGGACAACAGAATGACGGGTGCACAATTCACCTGGCATCCACCAACATCCATATACATCCACCAACTGTATTACCAAGTCTGGAGTTTTCTCCAGATCGGGAAGCCATTTGATGAAAGAAATATCTTTTTAAGCAAAAGAAAGGCTGATCTCAACCAAATTTCAAAACACTGTTATCCTCATAGAAAGGAAAGAGATAACGGGAGATAGAGAGGAAGGGCACATGAACCCCATGTCAAAGATATAATGTGAACTAATCTCCGGTGCTGTGGAAATAGAGGAATGAGGAAACCCATATGGGTGCTGGAACTAGGGCAGTGGAAGAGTTAACGGAGGACACGGGGGACATTGAAGAATCTTGGTGCAGAAGGTACGGAAGTGGAAGCATAAGGAAGCCCTGACATACTAAAAGGAGAGAAATGCAGAGCCTTAGTATACAGGAAGGGGGATTGCAACAGGTCCTTAAAACAAAGGAGATGGGGAAGAGAGCATGCAGAAGCTTTCTGGAGACATGAAAGAATCAAAGATCCCTAGTGCCTGCAGTAAATCCAGGCTGCAGAAGCAAGAAGGCTTTTATCAATTTTGGAAGGAACATGTCCTTGCATGTGCCTTTCCATTTTCTAATTTAGTCAAATTCCTGTGCTATCTTTGGGAGGATGGGACAAGTACTGAGTTGAGCCTCCTCTCTTAGATGACTGTGAATACTGAATAGGTCTGAACCTTGATGCCTTCAGGGGGAGCAGCCTTGGCAACATACTTCCAAGGGAGATTTTGTGTTAGGTGTTGGGAGCAGCTCTTACACATCGGAAACTGTAGTATTTTTGATTCAGTATCCAGGAGCGACCGCAGTATAGTAGCCTGGTTGGCTGGGAAAATGAGCATGGTTTAGTTAAAACTGAATAGACAGTCAAGCTCTAAAGGCAGTAAAACTTCTTTTGTGGGAGAGGACTGCAGGATCAAGTGCTCTGTTACTAAATTTGCAAGAGATTTGTTTATTCCCTAACTAAAAGCCATTTGGATGAATTACACAAGTCCTTTCTCATTATTCAGTTAAATTTAATACCTCAGGCCTACCAGATGCAGGGATTTCATCTCCTTACCATCTTCTGGATTCAGAATACCTCAGAGGAGAGATGGGCCCATGACAATTCACTGGTTTGCAAGAGCTGTACAGATACATATGTTTTTCCCTTGAGCTGCAACTTCACATACGGAAACTGTGTCAAGGTGAGAAAGCAGATAGAGGCAATTCAGGAAGGCCAAGGAAGATGTTTTTTCTCACTGTTTTGAACCTAATTTAAAACACAGCTCCCAGCTACAAGAGCAAAAAACAAGATACAGACCATTTAGCTGTAATGGAGGTACATCCTCAGACCTCTTTGAAGTATATAAGAAGATGATGTGTAAAAGCAAAAAGAAATAGCCTTTATTTTAGATTCTCAAAGAACTATGAAGGAATAGACCTCACATGCTCCCTGTGAGGAATGCATGAGCTGTTGTTCCCATTTTGCAGAAGACTGAACTGAGTCCTAGAAAGATTCATAGGTCTGAGGTAAAATAAATGGGAAGCCCATGACAGGTCTGAATATACCACCCCATTTCCAGGTCTGTGCGGCAGGAGCATGATGGCTTTGTGTTTTCCTGCAACAAAACAGAGGTTTAAAGTAACAGACAAGTTGTTATACATGCATTAAAAAATCCTTTTAAAATACATTTAGTTGTGTGTTAATGAGAAAATTCTACCGTGACTGCTTTCATCTAGTGCACAAACACTGCCAGAAAGGGAATGATATATATAGGTATGTCCTTAACAGAGAATACTGTTTATGAGAGAAGTTTTTTTCTGTGTTACAGTTGCTATAATCTTCAAAACATCCAGTACAGCAGTTTGCTTTGGTAGCCCAAAAATTTTCATTTCTTTCTGTCTTTCTTGCTACTACCGGATGTTTCGTGGATCTTAGGATTTGCCTGGCTTTTAATAAAGTTACGTGGCATATGGATTAGGATGCTGGACCAAAAGAGTTTCATGTGCCTACAGCTGATCTAATTTTTGGCCCAAACAACACAACCAGTTTTGAGCAGAAGAAATAATCAGAAGGACATGCAGCTGCTAAATAAAGGCCATGGGAAATTAAAATGTTTCCCATAAGGAAACAAACGAAGAAAATACATATGCAGCTTGATTAGAATTCACATTGCAACATCATTAATTACTAAGAAGCCACAGGTGGGAATGACATGAGGCATGAAAATATGATTACAAAGGGGAAATGATGATTCTATGTCGATAGCACAGTCCTTACAAAATGTATATATAAAGGACTTCAAACTGATGAAGGGCTAAGGCAGTCAGAACAGTATCTCAGCAGACAAAATATTTCATAAGAAATAAGTATGAAACAATAGAATTTTTGTCATGCTTAACTTTTTCCAGTTCTTCACAAACATAACTTAATTCCTCTTTTTAACAAGAAAGTGTGTAAACGCTTAGCAAGTTACTGGCTTTCTGTAAACAATAACTTATCCCAGCAGATTACAATTTTACAGTTAGGGAAATGAAGGAGAGGGATGCTCAGGAAAATAAAATGAGTTCATATCAGAACTGAGGTTCAAAAATTTCAATTCACAGCACAGGGATGTGTTCTGGGCTCTCTTCAACTGTGATTTGTCTTGTGCTACCTTACTCTTATTCTGCTAGGTCTGTTTATATGCTTCTGCCAGGAAGATTTTCTCTACGATTCAGTCACTGGCATATTCCAGGCTTTAAAAAGTAGTCGAAAAATACACAAAAGTGTCTGGAGCTTCCACTTTTTTCTTTTTTAATTAAACTAGCAAATCGAAGTAATAAGGAAGAACACAAGGAATTGATCCAATTCATTATGCATACAATTACTTTACTGAACAAAATTTTAAACCAGTTTTACTGGACATGAGACTATGTAGGTAAAACTAGTTTAGCTAACCTTTATAAATGTGGGAGAAGCTGCCAACTAGTAACCAATCTTGTGCTAATCTTTTCTTGCCACAAATTGCAAAAGTAATGGGGAAATACTTGGAAAGATCTTTTCACACTTCTGAATGTAAAGATCTGCCCCCTTTCTAAGAATTCAATAGTGGAATTGATGGTTGACTTAAATCTTTCATCAAACGCTGAGAAACGGGTATTGATGTCTGCATTGCTAGCAAAATGAGTAGTATTCAGACAAAGAAGCTTTGCCCACCTTGAGGATGGGTTGAAAGTCTCCTCAAAGCCCAGGTGTGATGTAGAGAATTGTTTTATATTGACAAACAAAAGTGCAGCAACAATTCTGAAGACCGGGTTAGAGCCATGAGGCCAGACCATAGTGATTATCCCATCCCTTGCCTACTTGTGACATATGAGGTGCAAAAACAGGAATTCATGGATCGAGCAATTTGCACATGTGACTCCAACTGAGCACGCCGCTCTGCTTTCTGTTCCTGCTGGATGGCTTACATTATCTTTAGAATGGAAAGTGGCTTGGTCTGCAACAGCTATAGATATCTCTATGTAAGTGATTTGGAACACAAATTTTTATATGGGATGAATCAAGAGCAGAAGCAGAAGGCAAAATGATACTCATCAGGAGTAGCATGTGACTGTTCAGGAATACAAATCCTTATGCGTAAACAGCAGCATGGATGAGAAAGCAGCTTTAGAAGGCTGAATAAGTAATCAGTATAAGCCTATTTAGAGTCAACTGAAGTTTTTTCCCCCAAAGTAGAATAAAAAACTGTTTATCACTCCTTTTTCATATTTTCTGTGAAAAGAGGCTACCTCACTGTGCTCAAAACCAATCAGTAAGAAGTAAAACAAACAATCTGAACCAAACCTATCAACTTTTGTTGTTACATGATTGTTTCCTATCTCAAGGAAAGCAATAGAAATATTGATTGGTAGAGGAAAGCCTAAAAATCAAAATGATTTGTCTCAGTAGTAGTTCCTAGAAGAATGAGCTCCTCAGCTGCTGTAAATCGGCCTCCTTCTATTGACTTAGATTTTAGTGCAATTGTCACATGTGTCTGAAATGTCACAGGAACTGTGAAACATTAGATATTAGATGTTAAAAATAAATAGAAACTATCAAGGTTTGTCTTCATACTCAAGCCCTTCAGTCATGCTCTGCCTTGCTTGTTCTAGCGTAAAGGAAATCAAAGGGCTTTGCTTTATTCCCGCTACCACGCTTAGTTCAGCGAGCACTTACAGCCATGGAATGATTTTATCCATGAAACTCCGCTCCATCACCACCTGAATTTGGATCAATCAGCACTGCATAGCATGAGCCTCAACATGTTATATCAACAGCAGCAAGGTTTCTCTGCCTCTTACGAGACTGTGCCTCTGAAAAGGGCAGGATCCTCAACTTCCTTATAAGCAAGACGAGAGAGTGTTCTGGAAACCCCATTAGTGACATGTGTGCTGAACATTAAATTGTCATTCTCCCTGCAGAAAATGCAGATGAATAGAGATATGTTTTACTGGGGATTCAAGGACCCATGATACGACTGCTGCACATAAACGTTAAGGCACTTGGACAAGCAGAGGCCGGTCTGCAGGAGAGTGCGACCCTGTCTTCTGATGAGCTGCATAATACTACACGAGTGCAGCCACTCATTTTAATTCTTCATCCCCAGGTAAACTTGTCCTTTCTGGACATTCTGTCTCATAACATTTTTCACTTCCAGCCTTCTGTCCTCTTATATCCTCCAGTTATTTTATGTGCTTTTTCTGTCTTGTGCGTCCTCTGTTTTTCATTGCTGCTGCTTTAGCATGCTGAATCCAAACTCAGTAAGCTTTGCTTTTGGTCTAACAGTTGTGCCAGCTATGTCTTGCTATTAGAATTTGCCCTCTGTCTTCTCATCTGTCTCAGTAATTGACCTCTTTATTTGTTAGTTTAACATTTTCGTTCCTTACTCTAGTTATTGTCATTATTCTAGTTATATAGACTCACCAATGTTTAAATCCATAATCATTATATGGAGAAAAAAGATGCAAGCAATTTGGAACAGCAAGTCCCTCTAAAAAAATTAGAGCAATTTTTCCCCTCTCCAAAGGATTGTTTTTCAAAGCTAATCAACTAATACAACAGAATAAAATACTCTGTCGAGAGAGTCAACACATGGTCCTCTGTCCAGTGAATGAATATGAAACAATGCCCCACAACTGTCTCAAGGAGAATGAGATTTTTTTTTTATCTTCCACTTTTGGAAGGGAAATGATGACCAAAATATTGAGTGCTGATAATTATTAAAATGTCCCTTGAAGGTTACAGTAAGTAATTGTTTTAACTTAGGCCAAGTCTTCAATTCATGCTGCTTCTACAGTTTTAATTAGAGAAGATGATACACTTTTCTGTTTAAACTTTGCAGTATAGTTGCAAAATAAATTTGCCATATTTCCCTTTGGAGGCAGCAGCTTGGCTCATAAATCTAGCCTCAAATGACCTAGACAGGCCATTTCAGCCATTCTTAGCCTCAAGGCAGAATCAGCTATAAGTAGACCTTTTTCTGTTTCATGTATTCCTTTTAAAAAGCCTGGTGGCAAGAATCCCTTGTCAATCTCACCCAATCCTTAATATTAGGAAGGTTTTCTTAATGTCTGGTCTAAACCTTCCTTGAAACAGTTTAAGCTTATAGCCTCTTGTCCTACCTCTAAAGAGCAGAGAAAGCAATTTATTCCTTTCCCTTTTGCTGGTAACTTCTACATATTTGAAAATAGTGACCCTTGGTCTTCTTTTTTATGGCTAAATGGACCCAATTCTTTCCATCTTTCATGCTAGAGTGTGTTTTTTAGACCTCTGGTCATTCTTGTTTTCCTATGAAGTCCTTCGTGTTAGTCCATGCTTGTTTTGAACTATGATGCCCAGTCAATAACATAACATTACACTGAGGCTTTACCAAGTGTTAAGCAGAATATGAGGTTTGCCTCATATCCTTTACGTACAACTCAGCTATTCACAGGTTCCAGTACGATGCTTTTTTTTTTTTTTTTAATAATGGTCATTCTAGCAATGCTGACTAAAGTGTGGGTCATTAGCCCAGACTCAGATGAAGCTGCAAAATATTAGAAAAGGTGAATTTTAATGCTTGTCCTTTGTTCCACACTGCCTGCACCCACCCCGGGGCTGCAAAGTCTCTGACTAGTAAAAGGCTTTGAGAGCTAATATTCTACTGAGCTTTTGAAAGAGACTTTCTCTTTTGTCCTCCTATGAGGAGCAAGTAGGAGTGCTGATCCCTCAGAAATGTGCACTTTCTGCTTTCCACGTACAGGATTACTGCTTCCCTTTCTCTGCCTCTTTGAGAGGACTGGGCTTACAGCTTCCCTAGCAACCCTAAAACTCTTTTTCATAGAGGTGACTGCTTTCAGAAGATGGTAAAGCCTTGTATAATACTCAGGTTTCATTAAAAATGCACTTGATCGCCAAAGCCTGTGAGCTCATACAGTGTAAAGAAGGACAGCGGCGTGTGATACTGATCAACGATATTTTTCTTTGCATACACTTTTCTTGTCCTCAAGCCACTTACTGAGTTATCTTAACTCTAATCTTCCTGGCACTGAACTCTAGCTGAAGTTAATGGGAGAGCCGCATGCAAACTTCCAGGTTCAAGCCCTTTCTCACAAACAATCTCTCCTACACCTGCAGACTCTGTGATATCATGAAAGCTTTACTGTGCTGCTGCGTTCCTCTTGTAAACAGGATCAAAGACAGCATGTCTTTTCTTTTTTTTTAATATTTTGGTCTGCTGTCTGGTTGCTGTCATCTCTTTCTTTTCTGGCTCATCGTGTATTGTACCTTGAACATTATATCTCACAGCAATTCACAGTTTGGTTCCACCCTTTCTATGTGGTACATGACACATTTGAGTATTTTTTCCTATCAATATGGCATTTTGTATGATATATGTTACTCTGCTAAGCTAAATGTGATAAGTCGTGCTGCTAGATCCACTACAAATGTCCTTTTTTCAAGGCTTCTCTTATACTTACATATCCTTCACTTTCTAAGCATGAAAGTTCTGTTTTCCTAATTGATCTATTTGTGCGAGAATTTGATAATGCAAACGCTATTGCCATTTTCATAGGACAGAAAAATACAGGCTTTTCTAGATGATACCTCAGAATGGTATGGATAATGAAAAGGGCCTAGGTTGCAAGTGACCTGAATGTCTCAACGTTGTAACTGTAAGTATTCAAACAATATTCTTTTTCTTTAACTCTTATTCATAACCCTTTGGCAACACTAACCTGCTGCGCTTAGGAACCTCTCTCAAACCCCAAATTACAGTAAGCAAGGTCATTTCTGCAGTTCTTAGCATCTCCATGAAAGTAATTGTATTCTCTCCGTCAAAAAGGAATCCTCAAAGCCATTGTCCTTGCTTCTTTCACATCTGGATTTAGACTCCTACCCTTCAGGAGGCAGGCAAAACGCCTCAGACGAAGCACTTGCTCCCCAAAAGCAGTGATGAACAAATCGCAAAGTGAGTACTCAAGCCTAAGTCCTCAGCGGTAAGTGTAAGGAGTTACTCTGAATAATTGCGTAATACCATACAATAACCCTAATGAACCACTGTGGAGGAAAAAAGAGTGCGTTTTAGATATATAAAAGTGGGATAACTAACTAAAACTAGTGGAATGATTTTGCAACTGTATTGTTAGCAATACTATGAGAAGATATCCTCAGCTCAAGGAGAATGTGGAAAATCTAATAGGGAAAATGATAGAACTTGCCCCATTCTATATCCCGAACAACCTCATTGCGAAGCAGTCACTGGATTTATGTACTTTTGACTGGATTTAGTTACTTCTCTAAAGAAAGGAGTTCTAATAGCAGGGTGGGGGTGACAAAGAAGGAGTCGGTCCGGCTGGCACGCACCTGCTAGAGCATTGGGTCTGAATGCCGAAGTTAGAAGAGTTCAGCCATTAATAACAACATGTAAATTTGTATCAATGAGATTTAAATGAGATTAAAGGCAGTTCCTGAAGACAGACTTTGAACCAGGATTACTGAACAAATTCTATGGATTGCTAGCACTTGGGGAAAACATCAGACTAGATAGTTACTATGATTCGCAAACCCACAAATTACCTGGTCCTTTCATCTCTACTCGGGCCACAGAGAGAAGAAGCTGGGCTTTCGCACTAATATTTGCAGCCATGTGTTAAGATAGTGATGACGAGCAAAAACGATTTCATCGGGAAAACTTTCCCCCAGGACAGAACTGGACAGTCGTATTTGCCATTTTGCTGTCCTTAGAAGCATCGGGCACGGCCACCGCTGCGACTGGGTCCCTAGGTGGAAGGGATGTGTGCCCTGGAGTGGTACAAACAACCCTCCGAGCTCCGTCCCTGCCTGCTACCCTGGATTTGCATGCTCAGAGGTGAGGCTGTGTTTTTCCCCATCTCAGAGTTTTATCCACACCAGGTTTTTACAGCTGTAAAAGAGTATTGCACCTCTCTGTGTTCTGGTGTTGCAAAAGCATTAAGCATTTGTGGTAGCTTTGTTTCTGCTAATCTCTGCCTGAAGCATTTAGCAGTTAGGTCTCAAGGGGACTGAAATGTTTTAATTTGAGTAAAGTTACTGGACTTACAGGGGAGAAACGTAATGGCCTGTGATACAAAAGAGGTGACCTTCAGCTCTGATTTTAAACCCCGTTATGAATTCCTAGGCACGGATATTGCTGAGGGAAGATTTTTGGCACAATATGCATTTAATTTAAAAGTCTTATTTGTTCCAATTGTACAGAGGTGTCCTAGCATGTAGGAAGAGTTAAATCTGACGAGTGTCATTTTAACCAAAGATCAAGATGAGAACTTACATTATAAAGATACTTAAGCAAATGCACCATATTTAATCTACTCTCATCTTAAAGTAACTTACAATTTGCACTTTCACTTACATTTCTAATGTAGTGGTATTTATTACCTATTGCCTACCTTACCAAATGAGCAGCAATCTCTAGAGACATCTCCTCTCTGATTAGAAAACTCCTGCTGCAAAATAATAGATTTATGAAATATACATGAAGAAACCTTTATCAAAATTACATTAATAGCAAAATTCTGCACACAATTACACTTGGCCATTGTGAAGTCAATGAATTTCACCAGGATAATAGAGAGCAGCATTTGCCCCTAACGAATACTTTTAGCTGATTAAAAACAATGAAATGAGATATTAATATTGACACCCCCTTGTTCGGTGGACCCAGGATTCCTGATTTAGGACTTAGCCTGGAAGAATAAAGCCACTCTGCCAGCTAGCCCTGACAGCAAGACTATATATATTCAGACAGATGGTCTCATGTATAACTCTGCTTTGGGAAGGTAAAAGGAGGAGAGTCTCATTCTCTCCTGCTTTGCACCAGTGCAGAATTAATATTCCCCCATGGTGCCTGCTAATACATACCCGAGTAAGCTTTAAACTAGTTAGCTTAGGTATTGAAAGCAACGGAGCTGCAACAGCATGCAGTTCAATAGAGGCTAAGCACACAAATATTTACTCAGTCTGTTCTGCCACTAGCTAGCTTTGGTACCTATTTTAGGTTAGCTACAACGTGAGACTGGCTGCAATCCAGCTAGTGGGTTTATTACCTGTAAGGCAGAGCAAGGTTTATTAGCCTGGGTAGAGCACTATGCTAATGGAATAATATATATAGTACTGTACAGATAGGGAAGTAAAGTGGCTTTAATTCTTCTTGTATTCAGACTAGCTCATGGCTCTGCATTTTGTTTTGTCCTCTGAGGGAATTATATTCCCCATCTGAGGGAATATTTGGCTTACACAAAAAAAAAAATGGGGTTAATGACTGGGCTGAATTGTTTGCACAGTTAGGCACACCTTCCGGGCTGAGGAACAAAGCAGTGCCCATGAAGGATGCAAACTTAGACAAGGAATCAGAAAGTAAAAGAGCTGCGTGGGAATACATAGCTACTGACCAAAATGTAGTTACTGACAAGTGCTGTGGCCCCCCTGTGCCACAGGGCTGCACCCTGCATTTTACTATTTGCTTTGAACTGGAGGCTTGTGCTGCAGGAAGGTTTCTGAACCACATGAGCACACCTTATCTCCCACAGATGGATGATCCCAATGTCTTTTAGAGATGCACAGGGTTTTTGTGCAGCTGCTTTAGATGGATTACTTACCAGCTAAAGTGTCCAGACCTCAACAAGCTTCGCTTGTGCCTTGCTTGTATCGCAGCTCTGCAGTATGTTGCTGTTACCAGTGCTAGTAACTAGGTTTGGTGCAGAACCTATGACAGTTAAAAGGAGATGCAAAGATGATGTTAAAGAATTGTTCACAGCTTTGAAAGTTTTAAATGTCTGTGTCCAAATCAGAATGAGTAATCCTTCTGAAGCCTAAATATGGCAATAAAGAAGGGCTAAAACCTCGAAGTTGCCGAGAAAAAGAAAGAGTTTGGGTAAAATGATAGACTAGGAAGACCCACAGAAACAAAAAATAATTGCGCTTCAAACAATACAGTCTCTTCTTTCTGGTTCAGATATTAGGAGCCTGAAGAGAGGTTAAGCTGAGGAAGGAACTGTAATGAAAGACACACCTAATCTCTTTCTACTTCTGTTTCACGCTATATTCCCAAATGCTTTGTTTCTTGGGGTGGAGGAATAAGCTATGGCTTTACTTGAGGAATTAGACTGTTCAATCACTTAATTTGGCTGCCGTCACAGTCCCCAGATAAGACTCGTTGCATGACTGGGTTTGTTCAAATAGGACTTTGGGGCTGTATTAGCCAGGGCCTGGTTTGAGAGCAGATGGATCAAGGAATTCAGCCCCTCCAGCTTGGTTCTGTACTATGTTTCCGCCTGAGACCCTTACCAGGGGTATCACTGCAGCAACCCCCATTGCTAACATCTACTACCATGGTACTCTGGTATAGATGTATATTCTCTGGAGACCACTTGAGCCTGCAACACAGAGCAGCAGAAAAGGGCCAGGGAACAGGACCCCCGCATCCCTCTCTTTGTATATGCTGAAAGGAGAAGCTGGTTTAAGATGCCTCTTTCCATTCTTATCCTTACTGAAATCACCAAGGCGATAATATGCCGGATGTCTAAGGACTTCAGAATGGATGCCCTATTATTTCTTTCTTTTGTTTTGTTATAATATGTGTGACCTTCAGCTGCTTTCACACACTTTTCACTCTGTAGAGAAAATACCATGCTGAATGGCTTAACTGTGATTTCAATACAAAACCAACCAACAAAAAGAGCGTTTGGGACAAAAGCAGCAAAAGCGGGCGACGACATTCAGAAGTGTAAGAAGTAAATCTAACTGCACACAAAGCAGAGTTCAGTTAAGTGTCACTGCCAAAAAAATCTTCTGTTCTCTATGAAAGGAAGTTGGGAAAGAGCAAAATGGAGTGCTAAAATTCACTGGATGCATAAAAAAGAGGGAGAAGGGGATGTGCCTGCTCTGGTGGCCTGTGGGCACCTGCTTTGCATCTATGCATATTTAGCAGTTAGACATGAAGGAGAGAGAAGGACCAGTCTCTCAATGTAAAAACATACAGCAATTTGCCTGTGCTGAGGATCTGCTCCAAGGTCTGTGCTCAATTCTCTCAGGTAACACTTCAGGAAATAATCAGATCTTCCTTCTTATCCGGTTTTGAGTGTACACCTGGAGGGAAATGCTGAATCCCTTCTGTTTAAAATATATATTGATAAAATAACCATCTATTTTCATTTGCTCCCTTATCTTCATCTGCTCTTCTGTCTCGATTTTACTGACATTTGGATTAGATTCAGTCCTACACATCAGGGTTGGAAAATGTTGCCTGCATGTGTGGAAGGAATAGCCAAAGACCCCCGTTTTGCTGAAGGAGGGTGCGCTACAACATACCAGTTACTCTTGGATGCAAGGGGTAATGTGTAAGCTGGTGCTTCATTTGCATGCTAAGGAAGGTCTGCAAGTCTGCTCGTTCCCTCGGATCACAGCAATATGCATGAGTGAAAAAGGAGGATAATAACCAGTCTAAGGAGTTGCTTTTATTAACATGTAAAATGCTTTTGCAATTTTTCTTTAGATGAAAAACGTGGAGGGAAATATTTGCTTCCTTTGATTGTGTGTAGGAAAACATTTTTTTTTTTTTGTATTTCAAGTATTAAAAATAGGAAGGAAAGGATTTCAGTTTTGATTTTTTAATTATAAAAAAGAGGGAAAATGTCCATATGGTTTTGATAAGAGACATAAAATACTGTCACTGAAAATACCCTTTAAAACCAGCTGCAGTGAACAGGGACCTTGATATTTACCTCAGTTTGATGCACTGGCTTGTGCTCAGGGCTTAGCCTTATGTCTGGTTGTGTGGCCTCTGCTCAGGCTTGCCCCTGAGTACATCAACCTCATTGACCTCTGTCATGTACTCCATCACGTATCAGCACAGCAGCATCGTGTGTGACACTTCAGGTGAGATGTTTGGCAGCCAGCCAGTCCAATTACCCTGCGCACCTTGCACAAATAAACACTTAAAGGAACCAGTCCTTGTCTGATGAGGTTTTTTTTTGTTGTTGTTTTTTGGCTTTTATAAACAGCACAGTTCAGGAAGGTTTTAATCATGCTGAGGATCTCAGGCTGCCAGGGAGAGGAACCATTAAAATGTCATGTTCTCAACTACCTTTATATATGGAGCACAGGAGAACAGTGGTCACTATCCCCGTCCGCTTCATCATTGTATATTTTTTTCCCCTAAATCTAGGGAATGTATGGTAAAGGAGATATTTTACTTTACACAGAAAAATGGCATCAAGGAGCAACAGACAGGAGAAGTAGCAAACATTCCAAAAATAAGTGCTTAAGAATCAGAAGGAATTAGAGTACCTTGTTCATCTATATTTTGCAGCAGAGAATGAATATTTATGCTTCAAATGTTATGTTAAAACATTCTTCCTTAATATGTATTTATATACAACCTTCCACAAAAAGTCTGCCTTCAAAAGCAGCAGGCGCTGACATCCTGTCTTGCCAAAAACACAACATCTCATCAGATGCTCAGAAAGAATTTATACGAGACTTTGTGAAGTGCCTAACAAATAGCAGGCATTCTACTGAAGAAAGCATCAGCATTTCAAGATGAAGAAGTAAATCTGTTTAGTGCTTTAGGAGTTTGAAGCGACTTTAGGAGTTTAAAGTGACTTCTTTAAAAAATGTAGACTTCCAGCTTAATGTTTCCTTTGGACCCCTCTGGCTAACAAATGGCTTGTTTATAACATTTCTAAATATAGATCCAGGTAACTCAGATTAAATCTCATTCAAAGACCATTTTATTTCTAAAATAAAAATAATAAAATCTTATCATTCTTTGCTATACATCTTCACATGTAAAGAAAGCCCCTGAAAATGCTTTATTAAAGTGAATGTACTCATCGTTCTCATGTAATCTGAATACATCATCCTTTTTCCAAATACATAATAGAAATATTTTTTGAACGCTGTTGTCTTTTCTGCATTATTCTTGATAGACCTACCCTGTTCATTTAGGACAGAACTAGCATCTTTGCCAGGATTTCTTAGAGTTGGGTTTTTATTACCTACCACAGTAATGTCCCTTGCTTTTTACCTGTTTTCTTTTTGTTTCTTTAATCAGTTTCTCCGACTTTCCAGCTTCTAAATTTATACGTGTTTCTATCATGTTCTCTTTTTTTCATTACACATACACACACACATACACACACACACTCAGATCACAAATATATTTTCGCTTTTGTAGTTGCTTTTGTTCTCCCCGCTAAAGTCAGGTTGTTTTATAACTAATGTCACTTCATTTTTCGGCTGTGGGATGGTTGCTTTTTGGCTATCAGATAAAATATTTAATTAGTTCCCAAAAATTATTCATACTTTTCTCCAGTCGTCTCAGCCTGTAGCTGTTTTCAGCTTTATGAACCTGTCTGTTTTAAATCACCAATCATATTTATTACTGATTTAGGATTTTTTCTGTCTGCACATAATGAATGTAATTAAGTCATGGTAACTTGCTCCTAAAAGTCTTTGTTTTTAGTTCTTAGATCAGTGCCTTTTTATCTGCCAAGATGAAGTCGAATTTATCCTTCCCTGACACTATTTTTTTGAGTTAGGAAATTGTCATCAGTATTTTTTTCAGAAATTCCAAGGCAGTTTTCATACTGACAGATCTCCGATATATATCACTCACATCGAGATGTCAACTTTTCAGCTTTCTTTCCTTATTTAGGACAGGCAGGTTTTCATGGAGCTGTTCATGCTGTTCTGAAATGTAGTGTGATGGTCTGGAGCTGACACTGACTTGTGCCCCACCTTGTACTATATTGGCTAGAAAATTGATCCGTAGCCCTTCAAGATCACTTGCACAGGATTTGTCAGTGGCTCAGACACGAGCATTTTGTGGAATTTGAACAGGTGCATAAAATGGTCTCCTTGACTCTTGTGCTATGAACCCTGATCTGCACTACAGTTTCTTCTTCAGTGACTAACCCTTGCTCCCTTGAATCTCCCTTCTAAATGTGCTTTCTGCAAATATCTCTCCTTTATGTTATGTGATGTCACTTCTTGCCTTTCTAACCAAGGTATTTTTCCCTCTGATCTTCCTTCATTTGCCTGGTTCCAAAGCACGCCTGGCAAATGATTTATATATAAAATCTTTTTGCACAGTCTCATTCCCCCAGCGGTCTAGGAGGGATTAGCTACTTGCTGATTTCCAGCACTGTTTCTGATCAAAGACCCACTAGTCACGGCCAGATGGGTCTCACAGAAGCACGGACAAGCCAATCATTAGGTCTGATCTGAGATCTAGAGACTATCCCCATAGTCCTCCCAAAGAGCAAAACATGAATAGATAATATGCACACACACACACACACACATGCCCCCCCACACGCTCTCATCTCACTCACCTCATCCAACTGCGCTACCCCTGAGCGCAGGGCCTGCAGCTAGCCCTCCAGAAACTCCCCTGTTAGCTGCTCTGTTTGCCAGGCTCAGCTGTTCCATGCAGCTTTTTGATTCTGAGTAAAGTTATTTTAATATCTAAACAGAAGGAACGATGCATGCAATGCCCTTCTGGATTATCCCTGGTTATGAACTGTGAGTGATGGTGCAAACAGTAATAGACATGTATCACGCTGGAGTGAAAGATGGTCCTAGCGATTACAACAGAGCGGCAGAGAATAAACAGTTGCCAAAAGCAGCCTTGCTGGCTGAAAGGTCTGATTTTTACTAAACCCAAAAGTGCTAAAGAACGTATTCAAGTTTTCTGAAAGACAG